TCTTCCACCAGGGCTATTGGAGTGCAAAAAGTAGGACAGCAGGCAAGGAGGGGATACGATTGCCACTAATGAGCTGGAAGAAGAACAAGAGTCTTCCAGGAGGAAGATGAGGAGGTTGAACAGGATGAATACCACCTTCAGGCACAACAAGCCAGGCAGAACTTATTGACAGCTGGTTCCAGTAGACATGAGCTGGGTGCCATTTTTACACAGTGACTGTAGATTCGTTGTTGCTCAAAAATTAAACATTGTCTGTTTCCAGGAGCAACTGCAACTTTTCTGTAATTGTTTTTTCTTTGCTTTACTACTGTTCAATAAAAGTTAACATTTCCAACCATTTGAAGGCTTCCCAGCTTGTAATATTCTCACTTTCAATGAGAAGATGTCATGCTGGGCTTTAGGGAAAGAGTAGCAGTCCCTCAGATAGTGTCCATGGCACTAAATGATGGATAGCCTGTGTAACTTTACTTTTGACGCTGCAATTACAATTAGAGGCGATCAGACTCAGTATGTAAAATAGCAACACATTGATGAATGTGAGCTTATATTTACAACAAATGGTGGTCTATTCCACCAATGTGTTCTCACTCCCCTCCCATTATGTGCACTGTGAAGGGCAGCTCCTGGCTGACAGTACTTGACCTGGTACACAGCTAAGCTTTAAATATGTTGGTGGCCCTGGAAATCCCAGGAGGTCTTGGCAGTGATGAGTACTTCCAATATTGGCGAGTGTACAATAGAACATGAGGTAGCATAGAGACACTTCGTACAATAATGAGGCAAGCAGTGGAAAATAATTTAAGTTAAATCACTGGAGGTCATGGAGAGAAACTCTCCATGAAAATCCCTTAAGTCGCCAGCCAATTTTTAACGAAGTTCAGTCAAACACTTCAATCCATTATGACTCTTTTTCAGAGTTCTGAAGAAGAGTTTTATTGGACTTGAAATGTTAGATACTTTGTTATTGGTCAGACGCGATGGGTCAAGTCCTTCCTATGTTGTCTCATTCTTTGATGTTATGATCATGATATGTTAGTTATTTCATTAAATACAAAAGCAATGACTTAGTTTTCTAGCCTGTACTTTAAATTACAGTAGTCCAGACCTTCCGTTGGAATATAGTGATTGCAGAAATGCATTCTCAAAGTTGTACTGCAGGACTCATTTGAAGCCCAAATGTACTGACTACACAGGGATTGCCTGTGAAGTTTAAACTTCCAATGAATAATTCAAAACATTTGGAGCCCTCTGGAAAAGTCTCCGACTCTGAGTTAGAGTCAGAGATTTCAGAGGATTCTGACTCATTTACCCAAATAGTCAGCATGGCAATAGTTAGCCTAGACTTAGCCTAACTAAAGACTGCTCTAACTTCTGGATAACAATAAAACTGACTTACTGCTGGCCCTCCATTAAGCCCGCCACTTCATCCCCACACCGCGAAAGAACAACATCTCCTGACCTGACCCCGTACCCCCACAATCTGACCTGAACCCAACTTGACTCCTATTCCAACCAACCCTAACCTCTTATTTAGCCACCATCCACCTTAAACTCTCATCAACTCACCTACTAACTGACCTACTCATTCATCTGCCACCCTACTCCCTCACCTACTTGCCTGCACCCAACCACTTAACCCACCTGCTATCTGCACCTCAAAGGATAAGAACCTTCCATATTATCCTAATTATTTGTCTGTGTAAAATATTTTACACAGTCTTGCTTGCTTAATAAATTCTAATTGTTTCATAAATACTTATTAGGAAAGGCAAAACCAAGTACCCTATTGTTATAAATTAAGAATTCATAACTTAGAGTTTTTAGGTAAAAGTGACTGATAGCTTAGAACTCCTGCCATCCTACTCCTTCACCCACACGCAACCTACCCTCTCACCTACACACGGAGCACCCTGCACCTATACCCACTAACATTACACACACATACCTTCTCTTTGAAGCTAGGCAGAGACTTTGAGACCTTTAAACCGTGGAATATAGCAGCTACGAGTGTAGAAAGGGAGTGCAGTTTGGCCTCTAATACTGAACTACACCATGCTGAAGGCTCCCAGTCAAGGGCACTCCATGTTTCTCAAGAGACCCAAATTTGAAATTTGGAGTAGAAACACAGTGCTCGAGGGCCAGGGGAAGTAAAACAAAAAAGCAGGTGGGCAATCTGACAGTGACTGCCACTTAATGGAAGATTCAGCCTATGGTGTTGGATAACCTTCTGACATTATCCACAGGTTAATTAAAAATACCACTCACCTATCATACAACCAAGAAAATATAATAAAATGCTAATCAGCAATGTTTGAAACTCGCAACTATTCACTAGCAACTTCCAACTCTGAAGACAATATGTAAATGTAACAAGGTGCAGAGCTGGATGAACAC